TTTTGTGTCAAGAGTCAAACATTTCATCTCATTAGCTAAAAATTACCCACAACAGAATCCCCATACACATAACACAACTAAATGTTATAAAACTCTGAACCCACAAAAAAAAGGTTTGATAAATATCTCGTAAATCAAAACATTACTCAGACATTTCATAGTAACTCGTCTAACATTTGATGTCCTCTCTTCGCATGTCAATTTCTTCAGGTTGAATCTCTTGTGCTCTTTAGTAGGCTGCTTTTGAGATTTCTTTTCTGTGGGGTCAAGCACAAATGGCTGCATGTATCTTCTTGTACAAAGCCTCTATGTTATCCGCTTCAACACCCTTCTTGATATACTGGCTACACACGGACCGGTACTTCTTAAGTTCATCTTCCATCAAGAGCTCATGCAAGTTGCAACATGGCAAATGCCATTGATCCAAAGCCACTGCTGCAATTAGAGAATTCTACAAATGTTTGAGGGCATTTGAGAAGGTTGTTTAATTGTTCGAAAGTTGGACCCTCAAGATTTATGGGTATATGGGTATTATCACAGACTAAAGTGACATAAACTATTAACATTGAATTATTTGTATAAAGAATCTTACTTGACGGTTCAAAGTTGGCTAGCCCTTTGTGTTCAGTCAATTCCAAGTAATAATAATTTTTATATATATTAATGCAGAATCTATATTAATTTTCTTCTGTTTGATTTGAGACTTTGAAACTAAAGTTTATGTACTATTTCAATCATACTGCTCAGGAAAACATTATTACAAACCCCCCAAAAAAAATGCCAAAGAGAGGCAATTTTATTAAGCACACTTATAATGAAGAGAGAAGGTAAAACCACGCAATTCAAAAGGTTACACATACACCAATTTGGAATAATCACACAGGGTGGCACAACCATATATATAGCATATGGTAGTAGAGACAAAAGTAATAATCCATATATAAATTTATGTGCTTTTATCCATTCATAACCGACAAAGATATTATTTATCAAGCGACACCCTAACTGTCAAGAAATCAAAAGGTAACTAATGGTTGACCAACCTAATTACAGCGGGCAGAAAATTACTGGATAAAGTACATATAAAACTCATAAAAAGAGAAGACTCATCAATCACCGAAAATTATTAGAAAGATCCACAACACTTACCAAACACTTCAATATCATATGGCAAAAAATAGCATGAGCAATATTACCAACAACGACCATAATAAGAGTTGATGGATCCTTAAAGCAATTATTAAAATACTTACAAGCTCTGAAGGGATCAACTTTCCGTTTGTCACTTATTTTAATAGGCTGAAGGAGAAATACCCATATTACTACCAAATTATAAAAAATAAAAAAAGTAAATAGCAAATGATAGATAAATTACCTTAAAGAAATAGGAATTTCCATAGTTGATCTCCCTCACACGGTTAGCAAATGCAATATAAGGACATCTCTCTTGAGCACGAATAGATTCCTCCTACATTTGCATAACTATTTTAACGTCTTCTTCTCCAGGCTGTAGATTCGTCGCGAAGAGTTGATAGACCAACTGGCGGGAAAGAACATAATATAAAAGATACAAATTAGTTGGATATGCATGATAATAAGGATTTATAAAATTGAATGGCATTCATGATCAGAGGCGGATAAACATGTATTTCTAATCCATGCCAGTTAAAAGGTCTCAAACTGTAATTTAGAAGAAGCAACTAAAACCTTGACTGAACTGAAAGTTTGAAGTGAACATAAATTAGAAATTACAGGGTCTGGAGATACCAAAACAAAAGATTGTTGGGAAATATTGAAGTCTCAAGAACTCCATTAATTAAGCTCTGATAACATCGCAAGCCAATCCTCGACTTCCTCAAAACCACCTCAAAGCAAATAAATAAATATTAAAAAAGGATTTCATAAAACCAAGAAAAAAGGGTTTCGTAACACCAAAATATAGAATTAAGGTGACCTGAATATGATAGAGGCAGTGACGGATTCTCAAGTTTCACCATGAACCATCGAGTCCCTTTTTCGCTCTGAAACTCTTCAGCTAATTTATGCCTAGACCCATCCTTATTTACATCCTTATTTACATCCTGCACATACGATATCGCAGTTATTTGTTCACCATATCCACAAGAACCACAGATACACGCACAAAGCACAGTCGAAATGCGTAAAAATTAGGGTATATGAAGAGAAAGAACGATATTTTACCTAGGATACAACGACACATCCGAACATCCCTTCAATGGAGAAGTAGAAACACAGGAATAAGACGATGGGGGCCTCGACCTGCCATCGAGTCCATTAGCTCCATGACCCATTTCTCCTGCTCCGCAGTCGTCATGAACCCATCGTCCCCGTCATCCAGCGACAGTGCCAACCCCAACTCTTCTACCATGAAGACCATGTTCATCCTCTGCTCCTCGTAGATCGGTCACACGATCATCGTGAAATATGGAAGAACAAAAAACAAAACTGAAAAAAATACAAAATAAGTAATCATTTTTCACTGAATTGAAGGATAGATGCGGATTGTAGCAGCTAGCGTTGCGAAACTTGTCATCCCTAGATGGAGCAAATTCTCGATCTCCCTCGCCATAGGATCTGAATCCGTTGCCGAGCTTTTTCCAATCGAGCTCCTCGGACAAATGAATTGGCGTGAGCTGCTTGTGGTATTTGTATAGATTTTACTTTTCAACTAAGCATAACATATTTGAGTAAAATATTGGACCAAAATTATAAGCGGGAGCTGTTGACTTACGGGATTTGTGTAGATTTTATTTTGCAACAAAGCAGAACATATTTGAGTAAAATATTGTACAAAAAATAATGACGGGAATTAGCCTTATTCATTTAATACTTTCCTTTGTTAAGCAGAACATATTTGAGTAAAATATTGGACCAAAATTATGTATAGTAAGTAGATTTATTCATTTATAACTTTCCGTTGTTATGGTAACAAAAAACGTACCAAAATCTCGGACAAATGAATAAAGGGATCCGTAATTGTTGACTTTTTATTTGAATTTTAAAAAATGACCGCCTCTTTTCATTTTTTTTTTAAAAAAATTACTAATAAAAGTAAAAACGAATTATTTAGGCGGGAATTCAGTTGCTATTTCAGGTAAATGCCAAACCTTTTCATATTTTTGTAACTTTATTCAAGATCTTCCACTTACAAAAAGTAAATACTTAATACCCACATAAAACAATTTTTTCTTTTCTTTTTTTAACAGTTTGAACTGGTCAATCAAGCGATAAAATACGTGTCAACCCAATTCTCATTCCTCTCCCCCTATCCTTGGACAGTAGTATAGTCTTTATGCTCGCCTTATAAATTAACTCGAGTTGTACTCGTTTATCAATATATCAGAGTTCAAAATAAATTTGAGTTTAACTACTTTATCAATATTAATTAAGTTGAATTTGAGCGTTCATGAGTTAAGTTAAAATTTAGAAATGTTAATCTCTAGTCTTAACAAACTGAACTAAACTTCAGGTTATGGAAATTGAGAACCGGAGTCCAACATTAACACAGTTAACTAATCGAGTTTTAAATAAAATGCAGGTCGGTTCAAAGTTTAACAAGGTGAGTCTAAAAGTTGAGCTCACAATGTCCCCTATATATTAATTCGAAACATGTTGAACCTAATTGGCAGGCTCGCATGCTTCAGATTCTTTCGAATTTCTATGTGGCAAAATGTACATTCTTCGTTATTAGGCTCGAGTGAAATTTAATTTACTTCCAACCCAAAACTAATTAGTGGGTCCGAATTATCTATAAATATATTTATTATTTATGTAATGTTACATGAATTAATTGCATTTTAATATCATTTCTTATTATAACATCTAAATTGTAAATGTATTTTAAAGTTAATAACTTTTGTATTTTTTTATCAGTTTACATTATAATATATCAAATTAATCATCTCGTGATGAACTTGGATTTAACATCTATATTGTATGTTTAGTAAAATAAATTATATTTATCTTTATAACAATAATAAAATTATTTTTTAATATTACTTAGAAAAATAAAATTATTTATCAATTAATACATTTATATATCAAGTAGTTATATGACATAAGTTATAAAAATTACTAATGTAACGCATGTAAGTCGCACAAGTAACATATGTCATTCTAAAATGTATAATAATATATATTTTTAATGAAAAAGTAAATAAAATTTATAATAATTAATAATTTTAATATGCACTCGTGTAACCAAACCAACTTGCAATAAAGGTAAATAGCTCTTATGACTAGCTGCTATGAACTATATTTCATATACCTATCACTGTCACTCTCCTCTCTTATCTATCCAACTCCAAGTCCGCCACGCAACTGCCACCATCAGTCCATCACCACCTTAGATATCACCGTCGCACACTCATTTCATCATCACCAAACGCCAAGAAAGCAACCAGAGGCTCGATCAAGCTAACCTCAACAATGGGCAAACAGCCAATCACCACCACCACCACCACTGCCGCCACCACCAACTCGGAATCCTCCGCCGCCGCCGCCGCCGAGTTCAAGCTGGTCGGATTTAAATCCTTCGTCCGCACAAACCCCAGGTCCGACCGCTTCCCCGTCCGCCGTTTCCACCACATCGAGTTCTGGTGCGGCGACGCCACCAACGCTGCCCGCCGTTTCTCCTGGGGCCTCGGCATGCCCCTCGCCGCCAAGTCCGACCTTTCCACCGGAAACTCCGCCCACGCCTCCTACCTCATCCGCTCCGGCCAGCTCGACTTCCTCTTCACCGCCCCATACTCCCCCTCCGTCTCCGACCCCTCCACTGCCGCCATCCCCTCCTTCTCCCTCCCCGCCCACCGCTCCTTCACCTCCTCCCACGGCCTCGCCGTCCGTGCAATCGCCTTCGAGGTCGATTCGGCCTTTTCCGCCTACTCCACCTCAATTTCCCACGGCGCCATATCGGTTTCCCCCCCAATTCTGCTAGCCGACGGCCTAACCGCTATAGCTGAAGTACAATTGTACGGCGACGCCGTCCTGCGCTATGTGAGCTATGGCGAAACCTCCCATCTCTTTCTTCCGGGATTCGAGCCCGTCGATAACAAATCTTCCTATCAGGGACTGGATTACGGGATCAGACGGCTCGATCACGCCGTGGGCAATGTCCCCGAACTCGGGCCTGCAGTCGAGTACCTGAAGAAATTCCTAGGGTTTCATGAATTCGCCGAATTCACTGCCGAGGACGTGGGGACCACAGAAAGCGGGTTGAATTCAGTTGTTCTAGCTAACAACGAAGAGAATGTTTTGATTCCATTAAACGAACCGGTTTATGGGACAAAAAGAAAGAGCCAGATACAGACTTATCTTGAGCACAATGAAGGTCCGGGCGTGCAGCACTTGGCTCTGGTATCTGAGGACATTTTCCGAACTCTTGAGGAGATGAGGAAAAGAAGTGGAGTCGGGGGGTTCGAGTTCATGCCTTCACCTCCACCTACTTACTACCGGAATCTGAAGGGTCGGGCTGGAGATGTCTTGAGTGACGAGCAGATTAAAGAGTGTGAGAGGCTGGGGATTTTGGTTGACAGGGATGATCAAGGGACCTTGCTCCAGATTTTCACCAAGCCGGTGGGCGACAGGTATGTGTTTGTAAAACTTATGACCCGCTAATATTTTAACTTGTGATATTCTTAGTGTCATTATTCTTGAAGTTGTTTGGACATGGTTTGGGAGTTTCGGGTTGCAGTTTGGTTCGTTTCTCTATTTGTGCCATTTATGATTCATATCTTGTAACAGGCTATGGATATAAGGGTGGGATTTGAATTTGTGGCTGATAAAGGAAATATTGTAGCTTTGAACTTGTGTCCTTTTTTCTTTGTCGCCGAATGATTGTCTGGCTGTAAGTTAATTTTGATGGGTTTTCCAACAAGTATGTAAGACTGAGTTAGTTGAGTTAGATGTGAGTGGAGTTCTTGAAAGCTTGAATCTTGACGAACGAAAATGCTGAAATGGGAAACTTGATTTATCTGGTCCTTTTTTTTTTTTTTT